CCCTTTTTTTTTTTTTTTTTGAGTTGGAGTTTTACTCTGTTGCTCAGGCTGGAGTGCAGTGGCATGCTCACGGCCACCCTAGTATTGACCCGCTGGGCTCAGACAGGCAATCCTTCCGCCTTAGCTTTCCAAGTAGCTGGAACCATAGGCGTGTGCCACCATGCTCAGCTAATTTTTGAAAACATTTATTGTAGAGATGAGGTCTTGCCATGTTGCTCAGCTGGTCTGGAATCTGTGAGCTCAGGCAATCCTCTCACCTCAGCCTCCCAAAGTGATGGGATTGCAGGCAGATTTATTAAAGGAAAGATGTGTTGTGAAGGGCACAACTGGCAGGAGAACATTAAGAGGGTCTCTACTGCTAGAGTTTTATTTTTTAATTTTTTTGAATTGGAGTCACTCTGTTGCCCAGGCTGGAGTGCAGTGGCATGCTCACGGCCACCCTAGTATTGACCCGCTGGGCTCAGGCAATCCTTCCACCTCAGCCTTCCAAGTAGCCAGGGCTACAGGCATGCATCATGCCCGTCTAATTTTTTGATTTATTGTAGAGATGAGGTCTTGCCAAGTTGCCCAGGCTGTTATCAAACTCGTGGGCTCAGGCAATCCCCTCACCTCGGCCTCCCAAAGTGCTAGGATTACAGGCTTGAGCACTGTGCCTGTCCCAGAATTTATTTTTTCAAGACATAAAAGTATCTGGTATGTAAGCATTAAAGTAGGTATTAAGCTTCTCTTCAGTGCAAGGACATTTACTGCTGGTTCATGATGGTGGCCCAGACATACTAATTGATAATGAAAAAGGCTTGAATTTGTTTTGGCAGGAGAATTAGTGGCTCTGAAGAAGGTGAGACTAGACAATGAGAAAGAAGGTTTCCCAATTACAGCCATTCGTGAGATCAAAATCCTTCGTCAGTTAATTCACCGAAGTGTTGTTAACATGAAGGAAATTGTCACAGATAAACAGGATGCACTGGATTTCAAGAAGGATAAAGGTACTAGCAAAAAATGACATTTCTACAGGATGGATTGCTATTTGAATGACTTGCCTGTGTGTTTTTGAACAGGTTGTACTAAGCACAGCTTCTTTCTGTAATCCATACCAGAATCAAGATGTTGGTCAATTGCTCTTGTGCTGAATGGTGCTTATTTTATAAAATGTCCATTGTTAATTATTAAAACTTGTCCATTGTTAATTATTAAAACTTAACACCTAATAAAGCCAGCAGATAAATTATATGAGATCACTTTATGCCAACTCTCCTCAGGTTTTTTAATTTTTTTTTTTTTTGAGTTGGAGTCTCACTCTGTCGCCCAGACTGGAGTGCAGTGGCCGCTCCCGGCCACCGCAGCCTCGACATGCTGGGCTCCAGCGATCCTTCCGCCTCAGCCTTCCGAGTAGCCGGAATTACAGGCATGCGCTACCACGCCCGGCTGATTTTTTGATTTATTGTAGAGATGAGGTCTCACTGCCCAGGCGGGTCTCGAACCTGCGGGCTCAGGCAATCCACTCACCTCAGCCTCCCAAAGGCGCGGGATTACAGGCTGAGCCACTGAGCCCGGCAGGTTTTTTAATTTTTTAAAAAACAAATTATAAAACAAGTTATAAAACAATATGAAGGCTAGAGTGCAGTAGAACACTCAAGGCCACCCCAGAGTCAACCTGCTGGGCTCCGGCGATCCTTCAGCCTCAGCCATCCAAGTAGCTGGCACTACAGGCGTGCACTACCATGCCTGACTAATTTTTTATTTATTGTAGAGACGAGGTCTTGCCAAGTTGCCCAAGTTGGTCTCGAACCCACGGGCTCAGGCAACCCACTCACCTCAGCCTCCCAAAGTGCTGGAATTATAGGAGTGAGACACCGTGCCCGGCTGCCTCCTTATTTTTATACAGTTTTGCACTGATACAATTTAGAATTGAAAGTAGGCATTTCTGAAATAGTTTTCTTCAGGTCCGCATAGTGATATGAATTCCTGGAGTTGTAATTTTTGTCTTTGTTTGGGAGATAAAATTGTTTGTTGTTTCCATACTTATATTTGTAGTAGTCTACACATGGTATCCTATAACCTTTTTTTTTTTGAGTTGGAGTTTCATTCCATCACCCAGATTGGAGTGCAGTGGCCGCTCCCGGCCACCATGGACTCGATCCACTGGGCTCCGGCAATCCTTCCGCCCCAGCCTTCCGAGTAGCCAGAATTATAGGCATGTGCTACCACGCCCGGCTGATTTTTGATTTATTGTAGAGATGAGGTCTCGCCAATTTGCCCGGGCGGGTCTTGAACCCGCGGGCTCAGGCAATCCACTCACCTCAGCCTCCTAAAGGCGTGGGATTACAGGCTGAGCCACCGAGCCTGACTACCTATTTTTATTAAAGCAAATTTGAAGAAGGGTTTAGAGCTGGGCAACTGAAAATAAAACTTTTAGGGTCAAGAGATGACATGTGTGAATATAGTCTAGTGTGTTAAAAAGGAATATGACTGCAGTATGGAGAAAGTCAAGCTGACTTTTTACAGTTTGCATTAGGGGAGCAACAACACTTGAGTTTAATAGAAGTAGTTTTAACGCAAATAAAAGAAAATGTTGCTTATGTAACAATATTTAGGTAAATTAATGAAGGTTAGATCTGAACATCATTTACAAATACTAGATATATTTTTGGGTGTGTCTTAACCTTTTCAGGTTACAAAAATAATGCGTAGTTAGTATCTGTGAGGATATACAAGAAAATGTTAACTAGATGCTTTTGGAGAGGAGCTTACGTTTCATCCATGACATTCTGTACTGTTTAAATCATTTACCATGAACTCTGCATGCCCATTGTGGAAAAATTGAGAATATTGAAGAGTAAAAAAAAGAAAATGGCAATCATTTCTTTTCCACTGCATCCCATAGAAAACCACTGTAGTATTAACATTTTGGTGTATTTGCTTCTAGTACTTTATACCATACATATTCTAACGTAGCTGAGATATAAATGTTTAGTGTTGTACAACTTGGCTGCACATAAAGTTAGATGAACCCAAATTTCCTTTACTGTTCCCTATTGAACAGTTAGTGCCAATTGCCAGTTTTTAAAAACATTATAATAGCACAGTACCTTGAGCATCTTTGTGCATAAATCTGCACATTATGATTTATTTTCTTAGTATAACTTCTGAGATAAAGGATTATTTGGTCAAAGGGATTTTCTTCCTTTGTTTTATTGTATTTTTTGAGTTGAGGGCCTCACTCTGTCTGGAGTACATTGGCACAATCATGGCTCAAAATAGCCTCAACCTCCTGAGTAGCTATGACTACAAGTGTATGCCACCACATCTAGGTAATTTTTTTTTTTTTTTTTTTTTTGTAGAGGTGAGATCTCACTATGTTACCTAGACTTATCTCGAACTCCTAGGAGCAATCCATTTGTCTTGACCTCCAAAAGTGCTAGGATGAACCACTGCCTGACTGGAGTTCATATTTAATGTTAGATTGCTTTAAGAAAGATAGTCCAGTTGGTGAGTGCCCATCCCACCATATCCTCTCCAACACTGAGTATATTGTTTTAAAAAGTTGTCATCTGCAGCCTGCAGCTGGGTATGGTGTCTCACGCCTGCAATCCCAGCACTTTGGGAGGTTAGGTGGGAGGATTACTTGATTCCAGGAGTTCAATACCAGACTATATAATATAGTGAAACCCTGTCTCTGTGTCTCTACTTTATTGTAAAAAATTAAATTAAAAAAGTCTTAAGCCGGGCTCGGTGGCTCAGCCTGTAATCCCGCGCCTTTGGGAGGCTGAGGTGAGTGGATTGCCTGAGCCCGTGGGTTCGAGACCCGCCTGGGCAGCGAGACCTCATCTCTACAATAAATTAAAAAATCGGCCGGGCGTGGTAGCGCATGCCTGTAATTCTGGCTACTTGGAAGGCTGAGGCGGAAGGATCGCCAGAGCCCAGCAGCCGAGGCTGCGGTGGCCGGGAGCGGCCACTGCACTCCAGTCTGGGCGACAGAGTGAGACTCCAACTCAAAAAAAAAAAAGTCTTATCTGGGTAGGTGAAGTATGATATCATTCTTTTGAATTTCATACCTTGTATTGTTAAATTTTTTTCATGTTTATTTTACTTTCTCTTTTTTTGAGGTGTCTTTTTTCACTTATCTTTTGTAATTTTAGTGATTTTTAAAAAGTAATAGTCCGGGCTCGGTGACTCTGCCTGTAATCCCCCAGCACTTGGGGAGGCCGAGGCGAGTGGATTGTCTGAGCCTACGGGTTTGAGACCAGCTCGGGCAACTTTGTGAGACCTCATTTCTGCAATAAATCAAAAATTAGTCGGGCGCAGTAGCACATGCCTATAGTTCCGACCACTTGGAAGGCTGAGGCAGGAGTATCACCGAAGCCCAGCAGGTCAACGCTGGGGTGGCCATGAGCGTGCCACTGCACTCTAGCCTGGGCAATGGAGTGAGACTCCAACTCAAAATAATAATAATAATATTAATTTGTATGAGGGCTTAGCTAAGTCTCTCTAAGATACTTCTTTTTTTCTTTTTCTTTTTTGAGTCAGGAACTCACTCTGTTGCCCATGCTGGAGTGCAGTGGCTCCATCACAGATACCACAGCCTCAATCTGCTGGGCTTTAGCCTCTTGAGTAGCTAGTACTACAGGTGTGTGTCACCAAGCCTGGCTAATTTTTTTATTTGTTGTAGAGACAAGGTTTCACCATGTTGTCCAGGCTGGTCTTAAATTCCTGAACTCAGGCAATCCTCTCACCTCAGCCTCCCAAAGTGCTGAGATTACAGGCATGAGCCTTTGCACTCGGCCTAGAGAGCTCTTTAATGCAGTGTTCATAATTGGTGGAATCATGGCGCAGTAGCACACGCCTGTAGTTCCAAGTACTTGGAGCATCTTAGAAAATGTATAGACTCGCTTTTCAAAAAAATACACACATGTTTAACATGTTGTGTACTATTTCAGAAAGTCCAAATGAAGTCTACTTCCTAGAGTAATATCTCCTTTATGCTACAAGTAGACGATTTTAGATTAAGTAATTATCTAACTAGATCTAGTATCCTTTCTTTCTTCTTTCTTTTCCTTCCTTTCCCTTCTTTCCTTCCTTTCTTTCTTGCTTTCTTTTTCTCTTTTCTCTCTCTCTCTGCCTCTCTTTCCCCCGCCTTCCCTCCCTCCCTCCCTCCGTCTCTTCCTTCCCTGCTGTTCTTTTCCTTCCTCAAATTTCTGGGCTTAAGCCATCTTTCTACTGCAGCTTCTTGAGTCACTAGCACCTTCCTGAGTCACAGGAACTACAGGTGCATGCCATTGCATCTGGCTATTATTTCTTGTGTTACAGTATGTGTCTCTGTAATACACTCTCCCAAAATAGAAGCACAATGAGGATTTGAAATTGTTTATTACTATTTTCTTAACATACTTCTCACTCTTTTTATCTACTTTGTTTTTTTGAGTCGGAGTCTTCCTCTGTCACCCAGGCTAGAGTGCAGAGGCACATTCAAGGCCACTGCAGCCTCAGTCTGCTGGGTTCAAGTGATCCTTTTGCCTCAGCTTTCTAAGTAGCTGGAACTACAGGCAGGCACCATCACACCTGGCTAATTTTTTGATTTATTGTAGAGATGAGGTCTTGCCATGTTGCCCAGGCTGATCTTGAACTGGTGGGCTCAGGCAATCCTCTCATCTCTGCCTCCTAAAGTCCTGGGATTATAGGCATGAGCCACCGCACCCGACTTTTATCTACTTCTAATTTAGGGGATTAAGTTAGTTGATTGATCTTCTAATTCTTAAATACTCTGAATTTCACAAATAATTATATGCTGCCCCTGGGTGTATTTTGTTGGTCCTGTTAACTAAGGTAAAGACTGTTATAAAAGAAGTCATAGACAGTGTGTAACAAATGCATACAGTTGTATTGCAAATAAAACTTTATTTACAGCAATAGGCAGCAGACTAGATTTGTGTGGCCCAAAATCTGTAATTTGCTAACTGACTTAGGCCATACAAGTTTAGTAATAAAACCTGATAAGCGCAATTATTTCTGAAGAGGTAAGCAGTCAAAAGAGCACTGAACTAGGAGTCACAAGATTGGCTCAGAATAGTAGTTGTGTTATTTATTATTCAAAGGGGCAAATTATTTAACTACTCTTAGTTCTGGTTTCTTCATTTTTAAGATTTAAGAGATTGTTTCAGAGAGCCTTCTAGTCAACTTCAAAATAATACTAAAATTTGAGGCATTGTTGTTTCAGCATTTTTTTTCTTGTTTGTGTTTATTTTTTAATCTTATGTAGGTGCCTTTTACCTTGTATTTGAGTATATGGACCATGACTTAATGGGACTGCTAGAATCTGGTTTGGTGCACTTTTCTGAGGACCATATCAAGTCATTCATGAAACAGCTAATGGAAGGATTGGATTACTGTCACAAAAAGAATTTCCTGCATCGGGATATTAAATGTTCTAACATTTTGCTGAACAACAGGTAACAGTAGCCAAATAAGGTTAAGTATGTTCTCCTCATCCTCTGACCTTCCTGGTTTTAGCTAGTTAATTGGTATTATAGGTAGACCCAATAGTGCAGTATTCATACACATATTGGTTGTTTTGGGGTTTTTTTGAGTTGGAGTCTCACTCTGTCGCCCAGACTGGAGTGCAGTGGCCGCTCCCAGCCACTGCAGCCTTGACCTGCTGGGCTCCGGTGATCCTTCCATCTCAGCCTTCCAAGTAGCTGGAACTATAGGCACGTGCTACCACACCCGGCCAATTTTTTGATTTATTATAGAGATGAGATCTCGAACCCGTGGGTTCAGGCAGTCTACTCACCTCAGCCTCCCAAGGCACGAGATTACAGGCTGAGCCACTGAGCCGGGCTGTTTTTTTTTTTTTAAGAGACGGGAATTTCACTCTATCACCCAAGTTGGGGTACAGTGGCATGATTATAGTTTATTGCATCCTGAAACTCGTAGACACAAATAATCTTTCTTTTTCTATCTCCTGAGTAGGACTAGAGGCATGCACTACCATGCCTGCCTAGTTTTTTGTTTTGTTTTGTTTGAGTCAGAATCTCACTCTGTCACCCAGGCTGGAGATGGAGGATAGTGGCAAGCTCACAGCCACCACAGCCTTGACCCGCGGGGCTCAGGCGATCTTTCTGCCTCAGCATTCCAAGCAGCTGTAACTACAGGCACACACCACCACGCCCGGCTAATTTTGATTTATTGTAGAAATGAGGTTTTGTGAAGTTGCCTAGTTTGGTCTCAAACACTGGGCTCAGGCAATCCTTTTGCCACTGCCTCTCAAAGTGCTGGGATTACAGGCATAAGCCACCATGCCTGGCCTAGTTCTTTTCGGGTGGGGGAGGGGTTATTGTTTTCTTTGTAGAAACTGGATATTGCCATGTTTCCCTGGCTGGTCCCAGAACCCTGGCCTCAAGCAGTCCTCTCACCTTGGTTCCTCAAAGCGCTGGGGTTACAGGTGTGAACCACTGCACCCAGCACACGTCAGTCCTTAGTGATATTCCCCATGTTTAGTGGAGAGAAACATGTCTGCTCACTTAGCTACTCTTGAGCCTTTCTCAATTACTGTCTTTCATAGTAAACACAGAATTGTAGTTGGTGATTGCACTTTCTACCCAATACTTACTCCTAGGGCTTTGTTTTTGTTTTTGTTTTCTTTTTGAGTTGGAATCTCACTCTCTCTCAGACTGGAGTGCAGTGGCATGCTCACGGCCACCGCAGCCTCGACCTGCTGGGCTCAGGTGATCCTTCTGCCTCAGCCTTCCAAGTAACTGGAACCACAGACACATGCCACCACACCTGGCTAATTTTTTATTTATTGTAGAGACAAGTTTTTTCCAAGTTGCCCAGGCTGGCCTTGAACCCCTGAGCTCAGGCAATCCTTTTGCCTCAGCCACACAAAGTGCTGGGATTACAGGCTTGAGCCACTGCGTCCAGCCCTGCTCCTATGTCTTAATAGTACAAACAAACAGGAATCTGATGGTGAACAGATGTTAATTCTTTAGAAGTTTTTATCATCTGTGTTCTTCCTTTTATTTACCCATGCTGCCTTGGCAATATCAGATTTATTATGCACACTTGTTTTTGGTAATAGCCCTACCTGTTGAGGCATAAAGAATAAGCTTGGTAACATTTAAATCAGGGCAGTGTTTGGTTCTTTAGGTAATTGGGTTGTTTACTTCTATTTTTTGTGTGATTTGCCTATTTTTGTTTTTGTTTTTGACTCAGAGTCACTCTGTCGCCCAGGCTTAAGTGCAGTGGCACACTCACAGCCACTGCAGCCTCAACCTCGATCAGGTGATTCTTCCACCTCAGCCTTCCAAGTAGCTGGAGCCACAGGTGCATGCCACCATGCCTGGCAAATTTTTTGATTTACTGTAGAGTTGAGGCCTCATCAAATTGCCCAGGCTGGTCTTGAACCTCTGGACTCAAGCAGTTCTCTCGCCTCTGTCTCCCAAAGTGCTGGGTTTACGTGCGTGTGCCACTATTCCCAGCAGAAATATGCAGTCTTACGGAATGAATAGGAATTTATCAGAAAGATTAACAGTGGACTGTCAGTGTTCTAGGCAGAAGAAACTGCATGCACAGAAGCACATAAACACGAAAATAACATGTTATGCTTGGAAAACTGTAAACAGGTCAGTATTGCTAGAGCAAGAAGAATGAAGTACATTAATGGCAAGAGTTGAAGCTGGATAATTACAAGAAGACAATTTAAGGATCTTGCATACCACAGTGAGGAGGTCAGACATTTTTTGGGGGGTGGGTAGGAGTCTCACTATCACCCAGACTGGAGTGCATTGCACGCTCAGGACCACTACAGCCTCTATCTGCTGTGCTCAGGCAATCCTACTGCCTCAGCCTTCCAAGCAGCTGGAACCACAGGCATGCGCTACCACACATGGCTAATTTTTTTTTTTTTTTATTGTAGAGAAGAGGTCTCGCTATAATGCCCAGGCTGTCTTGAACCCCTGGACTCAGGCATTCCTATCGCCTGTGCCTCTCAAGGTGCTGGGATTACAGACGTGAGCCACTGCTAGGAGCTCAGATTTTATCTGTAGTTGACAGGAAGCCATCGAAGGGTGCTGGATCATATATATTGTTTTATATACAAGTAATGCATTATTTAAATGTTTACTTAATTAACTTTATTATGAGACAAAACATGGTGTTAAAAGATTATTCCTCTCTGTTGCTATCTCTGTGACTCACAGTTCCCATTAAAGTTGGAAGTTGGTGACTCTATATCCATAGTAAATAATGCATCAAGAAATTGATGATGGCTGTGAGCTTCCAGCTTTTTGGCCTATAGAATTAATGTACCTTTTTCTGTTTTCTTTGCTTCTCCATGGGGAGATATCCTAGGGCAGAGGGTAATTGCAGTTATACTTGGTATCCTTTTGATGTGTAAAGCTCCTGGTGGTCCCTGACTTCCGAGAGTCCAGAAGCTGATGAAGTTCCAGAATAAATTGTACTCCCTCCTTAAGTTGCTAAACAGGATACAGGAATCCCATAGCCTACCCTGATCCATTCAGCCTCTGTCCTTGCCCACTTAACTTTGTCTACTCAGAGACCTTACTTAGGGAGAGGTGGCCTGGAAAAAATGGTGAAGAGTTGTCAGCTGGGCAAGGAAGAGAGAGCAGTTGATGACAGAGAGGGAAGAACAGAATTGGACTTCATGATTGATGTTCATTTCATTTTAATTACACAAGTATAAATGAGACTAAATTGTTTTTGATAGAGAAGAGACACAATTAGTCTTCTGTTTTAGAAGGGTCACTATATATGATAGACTGGAGTCAGGAATACCCCCTAAAAACATCATAAAAATTGGTTGTGTGTGAACTAACCCAGATATTGCTAGTAGGGATTAACTTGGTAGATCTGTAAACTTTGGTAAGTGAATGAATCATGGGGGATAAATAAGAGAAAGTAAGATAACTCACAGATTTCTGACTTGATAAACTAGCTGGATGGGTGGCACTACCAGTCACTATAAGGACTACAGAAGCAAGATGGATAGAGTAAAGGGTGAATCCCTTTTAGATATGTCTGTTGTATATCCAGGATAGTGATATCTAAGAGGGGCATATGGTTATGTGGGAATTCTATACTAGCAGTACAGATTTGGGAGTTACTAAGCATAGAACTGGTATTAAAAATACGGTCAGGTGCGGTGGCTCACACCTGTAATCCCCACACTTTTGGAGGTGGAGGCGAGAGGATTACTTCAGCCCAAGGGCTGGGGACCAGCCTGGGCAAATTGGAGAGATCTCACCTCTACAATAAATCAAAAAATTAGTCAGGCATAGTGGTGCACGCCTATAGTTCCAGCTAGTCGGAAGGATCGCCCAAGTCCAGCAAGCTGAGGCTGCAGTGGCCGTGAATTAAAAAAAACAAAGAACAAAAAGAAATGATCTCAAAAGTAGAACCCAAGAAAAATGATCAAGAGAGGAAGAAAATTAGGAAAATATCATGAATGAAAGACATGTTTAAGAAGAGTAGTTGGCTGGGCTCGGCGGTTCAGCCTGTAATCCCAGCACTTTGGGAGGCCGAGGTGAGTGAATTGCCTGAGCCCTCGGGTTGAAGACCCACCTGGGCAACTTGGCGAGACCTCATCTCTACAATAAATAAAAAAAAAATTAGCCGGGTGTGGTAGCACGCGCCTGTAGTTCCAGCTACTTGGAAGGCTGAGGCAGAAGGATCACCAGAGCCTGGCAGGTCGAGGCTGCGGTGGCCTGGAGCGACCACTGCACTCCAGTCTGGGTGACAGAGTGAGACTCCAACTCAAAAAAAAA